AGCTCGTGTCAGGCCACATAACAGTCAACTTGTCAACAAATGTGCGAGTTGCTCTAGAAGGCTTCAGTATGACGAAGGATATACAGTGCTGGCTCGACAGCACCGTAGCCCTACACTGGCTGAACGATGACGGGGAGTACCGCCAATTTGTAGCTAATCGGGTTAAAAAGATCCAGAGCCACCCGAACACGCAGTGGAGACATGTACCGACATCCGAAAACCCAGCTGACTTGGGGAGCCGAGGCGGCAGTGTGAATGAAGCAGAGCTATGGTGGAACGGTCCGCTGAGGTTGTCTGACCCATCTCAGTAACCTGCTGATATTGTGTCAAAGGCGACAGATGACAGCAATGCAGAGAAGAAGGTTCAACGAGAACTTTTCGCGCTCGGTGTCGAAGCAAACAATGACTTTGACACTGTTCTCGAGAAGTTCGGCTCGCGTAAAGCCATGAGAATTTGTGCATGGATCTCGCGGTTCAATCACAATTCTTGTCACCCTTCCGAGAAGATCATAGGATCTCTCACGACCGAAGAAATTCAGCAACAAGAAAGGTCGGTGTGGAGTTAGCAGGACCAATCAAGTATGGTGGTAAGTGCAAGACAGAGGAGAAAGTCTACGTCGTACTATACTCCTGTTGTCTTACCCGCGGAATCTTCCTGAAAGTGCTACCCAGCTAAGAAACGGGCGAATTTATAGAGCTTTAAACGTCTGATCGCGAGGAGGGGTCGATCATCCCTTGTCTACTCAGACAGAGGTTCTACGTTCACAGCTGCGGCAAAGTGGCTGACGAAAGTGAAGGAGGATGAGAAGTTCCACTCATTCTTGAGTGATCAATCCATCACTTGGCGCTTTGATGCGAGTAGAGCGCTATGATGGGGAGGACACTTCGAAAGACTCGTTGGCTTATTCAAGTCTTCATTCTAAAGTCTGTAGGTCAGGGTCTACTAAGCTGGTACGAGCTCTGCGAGGTAGTCCTTGACATCGAAGTGTAACTTAACCATCGACCTCTTAGTTACGTGGAGGATGACCCGCAATTCCCTACACTAACACCTAACTCCTTACTGTTTCTGAACGCTAACATTTTACCTGAGCTCGAGCCACATCTTCTCTAAGACCGCGACTTGAGGAAACGTGCGAAATTCTTGAAAGCTACCAAAGGTACAATGTGGCGTCGTTGGACCACGGAATACCTTAGAGCTTTTGAGAGAGGGGCATCAACTTAAACATAACACCAAACCAAACAGCTTGTCCGTAGGAGATGTTGTTATCATTAAGTCTGATGAGCGAAACCGAAATCAATGGCACATGGGGGTAGTAGAAGACTTATTTACTGGACGAGATGGTGTTGTCAGGGCAGCGAAATTAAAAGCAGGCAGAGGATTCATGGAACGCCCAATCCAACATCTCTACCCATTGGAGTTGTCGTGCGACAGAAACCCTACGCCTTGTAATGACACACCTTTGAACCGAACTGCAGTGGAGTTCCGGTCGCGACGAGATGCTGATGTGGCAGCACGTCAGCAAATACAGGACATTGTAGAGGAAGACACTTGAATGTGGTTACCAAAGAAACATTTTTATACCTATTTCATGTTGTGTTATAGAGTCAGTTCCACTTGCATATGCATTGTTCCCAAGTCATATGGAGGAGAGCGTTGGAAACTGTACGATACGTTAATTATTCTCAATTTGATTGACATTTATAGGTGACTTCGTTTATTTATACATGACTAAGCAAACCTGTATGCAGCACGTGTTTATCGTCCCATATATGGCTCTGTTCCATGTACTTACAACGGGACGTTGAGTTTGTTTTCTTCTAATAAGCCGAGAGTTGTCCTAAAAGCAGTACAATACTTATCGTTAATAAACTTAATTAAGCCCACCACAGTCTATATCCTAGCTTACCACTGACACAATCTCATTGCTGTCTCCACAGTTCCTTGAAATAAGCGATCTTCTGCAGTCACTCTCTCTCGGTATAGCTTTCTATGCAGTTGTCGCTCCAACAACAACAACTACCCTGACTACCACATACGCGAGTCTTAATAGATATATGTATATTCACAAAATGTTCTGGAACATTCCAGAAGCTTACAGAATAAGACGACCGTGAAGCGGGAGTCTGATTTTGTTAATTACAGGTATGATGAAAACTGTAATTGTCCAACTCACCAGAAGCTCAAGCAATAGTTCCCAGGGCCCCACATCAGTACAGTGAGAATAGTAAATAAAGTACACAACTCTGTCTCCACCATCTTGAATTGGTAAAAGGGGACCGAGGGAAGAGGTCAGCAAATCTATGTCACTAGCAGGTGATACGTATACAGCCATGTGATCAGGACCTGAGGCAGTTAGAAGTCAGACACTGGTGAGATATGAATACACGATAATGTAAGGAGAAATTAGATGCTGGTCACTTCAAGGGGTCAAAGGGTTAAGAGAGAGGAACCTGACCTGATATTGAGAATTTAAATGAGTAAACTTGATCCTGTTTCTTCCTATGTAGCAATTTCACTTCCATTGGAGATGTTTTGACTTGAGGTGGAGGACCAGGGAGATACCAAGATTTTCTGATTGCAAAGACATCACCTCACAGTTAGACAGAGTTATAAATTGAACTAAACAGTAGTTTTAAATGTTCAGAACAGCAATCAAATAAATTCAGATTTAGGTTAATAATACATGGTCCCCATTTTTTAACCAGTTGATTAATTAAGCAAAATTGGAGAATGATGACGTACAAACTCTGAAAATCTGGGCACATAGAGGTAACTTTTTGCCACAATATTTCTTTTCCATTTTCTACTGACACCTCACTTTCCAGATTTAAAGCAAGGCTGTGTATTTTCTGCCCAACTTGCCTAGTATATCAGGTACCAAAGCGTGACAGCGTGCATTCTTTTGAATACTTTCCTTTGATGAAATTCCAGTGAATTGGCCATGCAATGAATAACCAGAGACTAATAGATGAACACTGAATGAGTAAGTACCACATACTGCACAAGATGCCTCTGTGGCAAGTAATAAGGAAAACCTCCATAAGCTCCATCCTGAGGTGCAGGCAAAGCCTTCTTAAACATGGGTATATCACTGAATGGCTGTATGCCAAAATAGTCTAGTGGAGTGATCCAGGCATCTGCATTTTGTTGAAACACTTCACCAGCATTATTGTAAAATGTTCTTGATGTGTGCTGCATGTAGAAAAAAAATTGATGAAAAAGTTGGTTTGTGTCATTAATTGTGTGAATGTATCCACTAATCAATGCTCTTACTAATAACTGGTGGTGAAAATGTACACTCCTGTATGATTTTAGAACCCTCTAAAAAATACTGACATATGCTGAAGGCTTGACTAATTAAAATGCAAGCATGCATGGTATCAGGGCTTTGCAATTTGCACTTTTAACAGAACCTGGCTAGGGAGGTTGAGACATGTTTGAAAAAAAAAAAGGCTTCCTGTTTGAAGTTCGTTCAAGGTCAACTTTAACAAGGTTTGAAATTCTACATTTTTACAGTATAAGCAGCAAATTAACAAAAACAGTGGAAAAGATTGGAATCACTGGAATTAACCCTTAATGCCTCTGAATGTCTGGTTTCTAATTTCTCCTCATCAGCCATGAATCAAAAGTTTAGGTTATGAGAATTAATGAGATGATCATCAATTAGAGAAGGTCTTGATTGTCAAACAAATTCTCCTTGTCTGTACTATTAATAGGAAATGCAAAGAGATCTGGTGCCAAGGGTTAAACTTCTTCTGTTGAGAAGCTCTCATCTGGATACAACTTTTGTCTGCTCATTCTGAGCACTTCAGTCTGGAGACTTGTATGCTAATTAATTGTTAACATTGTCTTGTTGCCACCAACATTACAATCCTACAGGATAAAGACACTTGTGAGAAAAAAAAAAGAGTTGGTGTAAGTAATAAAAATTGAATGGATATCTTGGTACCTGCGAGAAAACCCTTATAGGGCACTGACTGATAGCTGAGTAAGGAAATGATAGTCCTGAGAGCGATACAAACAGAAGAAATATTTCTGGAAGCTTGAGGTTTCCCAGAACCAACAGTGCTAACCTGAAGAAAGGGGAAAAAAGTAAAATTTGATATGGCATTGAGCTTATCAGAACTTTTGTGGGAGATGTGGAGGCCAAATGGTTATTGTGCTGGACTCTGAGAATAGGAGAAGGCCCGATTTAGGGAATATGGAAGGGCCTCAGTGGTGGTTGCATCCCTATCGACTGACCTGACCTCTTCGTCATAACCTTGAATACTACGCTTTACATCCAGGAATGCAGCAGAAAAAATTGTTTCGTATTTAGTGGAAACATTTCTTATTAATGCCAATAACAATTTCTGCGTAAAGCGTCAGCAATCTTGAACATGAGTATAGCGACGCTTGATCGCCGCTAGCTGGACCGTACGAATCTCACTGATCGACACAACAAATATCGTCCCAATTTCTTTCTGTTAAACGCCTCCTTTATTAAACGTCGTATTTGACCGTGAAGCTAAAAATAATTGATTCACAAAATTAGGGACAAGAAATTAGCTATAGAAACACTCGAGGTAAATTAAACTTACATTGTTGCCGGATCTGGCGAGAGTTGACACAAAAAGGACCTTTCCTTCCTTCGATAAAAACGACAGACAATTTCTTTCTATTAAACCACGAGTGCTTGCGAAATCGATCGAATTATTGAATTGCGCAATAGATCCGTTCTGTTTGGAAATGCGATACCACTTACGGAACGCGTGACGAGGCACCTAGTGTGACTTTTACAGATTATTAATTAAACGATTACTAAATCAAAACAAGGGATAAACCCGTGCCTTAGGGGCACTTACAATGAGTATGCTGCTTGTCAGCAATTGAAACCAAGCTGCGCATATTCAGCATGGAACTCCGACAGGTGTTCTCCGGGGCTATCGATTTCGAACTGTTTTGAACCCCTCACTTGCGAGATAGAGGGTTTTCCTTCTCAGAAAATAGCACTAAAAACATGTTTGACGTGGCTTTAAGTAGTGCTGGAGTAACTATTGCATCATTTGACGAAAATCATCCACCAGAAAATATCATTGATGGGAAAGTATTTTACGTTCAGTGAAGATCTTGGAAATCATTCTAAGTTTCCAACGAGCAGAGATTTCGATGAGGACAATTAAGATAATTCAAGACCACCTTCAATTTATCTGAAACCCATTGGTACTACGCTTTGTGGAATTACTTAACTGATAGACCAAGACATGATTATTCTACTATCGTGAACATTATCACGGTAGTAGTTGTCATGGTAACACTGATAGCTGGCCACGGAATGTTCATGATCTGTTTAACAATTGGTTCACACATCAGCGTGCGTTCGTCGAGATATGAAGCACGCAGGAAGTTTGGAGAGCACGAAAGATGCGTAAGAGTTGCTCGAGGCGTAGCCAAGAGTAACTCTTGCTTCTTGAGTGCTCTCCAAACTTCCCGAGTGCTTCATATCTCAATGAACGTACAGCTGACGTATGAACCAATTGTTTTATAACGTTTTCAACCCAAGGCAAAATTTTTTTCTCGAGGGATTTGTTTGCTTACGTCATGAGCGTGCACAATAGGAATATAAAGCACGCTCACACAATTGAATTTGATTAGACAAATTTACTAGCTATGTTATAATTATTCTTGAAGACTAAGATTTAAGAAAAGAAAGTTATAAGGAGTGATGCAACATTTGTTGGTGCTTGCTTTTATCTTTACCTGGTAATGCCACAGAAAAGTTGAAAATAAATTACATTAGCACCCTGCAAACTCGAACTCAGAAAATGGATTTAGTCAGGTGATAGTTAATGACAGGAAAATTGGGGTCAAATCCAGGGAAAATTGGATCTTCTTTGAGTTAGCAATAGGTTTGAGTAACTTGGTTTCAAGTTAGCAGGGTTCTACTTTATTATAGTATGTTTCAGTAATAAATAAATGAAAAACTCCAAGGCAAGGCAAGGCATGAGCATGAGCCTTCAATCAGTTTATGGCTGAAAGGCTTGTTTAGAATCAACTTAAGTTCCCATCTAGAAGTCTTATGGCCAAAGTGAGAGGTCATGCAAAGAGTCTTTGTATTTCTGTGAGTCTCAAATTTTACCATCTGCGACTCCTACGGCTGCATCCTGATCAGCCAAACCAGAATTTGTTGTCTTTTATTTTGCTCCACAGAAGTCTTGATACTTTCTGCCCAACAACTGGAATGTTTCCTCAAGAATTCATCATCACTTTCAGTGCATTAATGAGCATTGGAAATGTTAAATTCCTATCTTCAAATGGTGAGGATGATGGTGGATGATCTTGAAATGATGTTTAGTGTAATGTAACAGGGGCATTATCAATTCAGTGATTTTTTAGTTTTTCTTTTTTCATAACAAAAAATAACTCTATGTAAGTGAGTAGAGGGGTATGTTGCTTGCGCCAATCAGATCCCTGCATTAGGGTATGTATCTTGATCGCCGCATAAGGGTATGTATCTCTGTATCTCACATTAATCAGATTGCAGCATTGGGGTATGTATCTTACACCAATCATATCACAGCATTTGGATATCTTGTACCAATCATGGCTTTTTTGCAAACAATGTCTTGGAATTGGGGGGCTGTGCACAAAGCATGACGTTAACCAAAAATTCTGGGCTCATTTGATAAGTGCAATGGTTTGTGGCCTTTGTTAGATCCTCATTGAAAGGTAGAGATTTCTCAGGATATGAAAGGTTTCCATTTAACTTTTTGCATCATTTTTAAGTTAAAACATGTTTTTCCACTCCTTTACTTATAATGCACTTGCCAAACACATACCATGAAAACAATGTCCAAAGTCCAATCTGAACATGCTCGATCATTGCACTACATGAACATTAGGCAATGTTTCATGTGCTTGAATTGTACTCCACCAATCAAATTCCATTTTGCCAGACAAGACTTTGCTCCATCACATGTCATTTCCTTGTAAACAACCTGCATTTTATTGCATATTGTAACCACATTGTCTAACCCCACTGAAAAAATTCACATGGAACAAAATGCTCCTGATAGTGAATTTTCTATGCAACTCTCCTGCATTTTTACTTTTTCTTTAAAAAAAAACTCTGCTTTAAGCTACCTTGGACTTAACCCAAGTGCATGTTAATTCTTTGTAAACAACCTGCATTTTATCATGCATTCCACGCACAGAGGGCAAAGTCCAGTAACGCAACAACAAATCAAGGAGCCCCCCTTTGAAATGTTATCCTTTTTTCTTGGTCAAGGTATCTTCAATCATTTGAGATCAAAATATATCTTTGGTTGGGATATATTGGAGATACAACAGAGTTTCAGTTTGCTTTTCACAGTAAACTTAAGTAGAATTATATTTTTGAGATAACAGACTGCAAACGAATAATTTTGATTTTCTCTCTGATAAAGGAACAGCAGGAAGCATAGTCCCTTTTGCAACTGTTATTTGGTCTTGTCATGCAAACTGCTCTCTCTTCAATGAGAAATAGATGGTGTTGTGTAACAACACCAAACAATGGGTGTGAAGGAGACAGCAATAAATGTGGCACCGCTGCATTCTATTTTTGTCTCAAAGCATTTAGACCATGGAAACAATAGACCAAAAACTACTTGTGTGAGTTCAGGTAAATTTTTTTCTTTCTCTTATGGTGGAGTTATGCAATATTTTATTTCTTTTGAAAGTTATGTTCTTTTCCTGTTATAAAAAGGAAAACATTAGCTACACAAAGTATCCCATGTCAACCTACCCCACCAAAAAAATAACTCTTGCATGCTATGTATGCCTATGTCTTATTACAGGAGCTGCATCACTGTTTTTGTGCCACACTATGAAAACTTTAAATATACATTTTTTTATTGTCAGTGATGTAAAAAGTTGAGAAACGTCTTTGTGAGGAGTCAGGTGTGAGTTACCAGCTCATTAGAAACCAGGAGCTTCAAGGTTTTGTAGCATATGTGAATTTTTTTTTGCAGTTAAAAGCCTCTGCATTGAGAAAAGCACAAAAACGTAACCAGTAGACTTTGAACCTCTTGTGGACAAAGGTAAAAGAAGCCATAGATATGTTATAGAAAATGTTGCTGTTCATCCTGGTTAATTAAAGGTAAATGGATATTTAATTGTTTGTCTCGCAATGTAAAGTAAGGCCACCATGATTTATTATACAGTTGACAGCCTGACTTTACTTCTTGAGACAATAAACATCTAGTATAAAGCTACAGTTAGGTTATTGCATAGCCCTTGGGGCTCTTCTGCATTAAAAAAAATTTAAAGTATAGTCAGGACCTTTCACAGGAAAAAGATTAAAAATTTAATCAGAAAAAAATGACCAACATGATAACAAAATAATTAAAAAAAGTTTAAACAAGTTGACATTCAGTCAAATAATCCTCTGACTTTGATCACTGACAGCACAGAACAGTACACATTGACATGGCCCAGGCCTGACTGATTGTTGGGTGTGGTTGACTGTACAGTTTAAGACTGACAAATTCAATGAAACATACTTGCAATTTATTAATAATGTGTAATTGTTGTCTGTGGCAGAGTATGAACATTTAGAGGGTCAGATGCAGAGAGATGAGATCAAGGTAAGTATCTGGAATTCAGGAAATTGCTTCATTGGTGATTCAGATCTAAAATATGTGTCTGGCATTCAGAACCATGTGTTTGTTCTGATGGAAAGACTTGCACTTTCAGTTGAAGTTCCCCATGCCATCCAGGTAAGGTTTAAATGGCCCCCCCTCCTGTATGGATGACAGTCAAATGCCCATGGATTCCTCAAGGGGGGGGAGTTGTTGAAACTTAGAATTGATCAGTGTGTAAAAATACAAATATTCAGTCCAAATGGTGAATGTAGGGCTGTTACATTTTAGTATTATTTGTATGTTTTTTCCATTGTAGATTCCTGTTACATCAGCATGTCATCTGAGATTTCTTATCAAAAGTGGACTTGATCATTTTGTTTCCATTCATAATGTCAGTGTTGATGGCACAGCTGTGCACTGAACTTCAGTCTCTACATTCAAACAAGCTGTGTATATAAGGAAATACTTGTGCGTAAATGAAGTAAATAATTATAGTAATCTGTTGGCAGAAGGGTGTTGACTTAGCGTTACAGTTCTATATGGATATACTGTAAAACCTAGTGGTGGTTGTCACTTTCCATTGGGAAAACTTGGTTTAACACTAGGTATTGAGTGTATGTCCCCTCTGAAACCCCCCCCCCCCCCCCTCCTTCACAAAAGTTTCTTCAGTCTTTGATTATTGTCACCGACAAGTTTTTGTATAAAATATTTTCCCCATGTGTTAAGACATGATTAAGTTATTAGACGATATTACTGTGACCTTCATCCTGACGAATCCTTACTGCAATTTAGATATTTATATAAGGGGTAAAAAAAGAACAAAACAAAACAAAAAACAGAACAGAACAGAAAAAAGAGGCGGAAAAAGAAAGCGAAATAATAAACCCTTTTTCGTGGACAACATAGTTGTAATAATTTTGTCCGCTGCAGGGAAAAGAGAATACTTTTGTTTATTTATTTAATAATTAAGGACAATCACAATTATTGAAGTGAAGGTTGAAGCAAACAGAACTGTCACTATGGAAAACAGACCATTAACAGTCCCAAAGCAATGGGCCAAACTCTGGAAGTCAGTTATTTTCTGCTCATCAAAGGAGTTGGTTAAAAGTTCCACACTTTACCATGAATGTAACAGTAAGTGTATTCGTCGTTCTAAAAGCACCGCGTGAGGTGCATTCCTCGTTCTAAAAGCTCCGCGCGAAGGGCACAGTCAACAAGAGTATTCCTCGTTCCACAAAAAAAACACACTTTGCGATGTGCTTAAAAAACAAAAGTATTCTTCGTTCTAAAAGCACCGCGCCGGAGGGCTGGGAGGAATAAATTGATCTAATTCCTACCTTCCCTGGCGGCATTCGTAAAGAATTTCATTTTAAAAAGAAAATTTGTCTTCTACAATTTGTTATAAATTGAAACGTCTATGCACATTTAAAGAGTAATGATGGATTTATTGGGATGAAAACGCAACTTTGTTCAAGGAAAAGGATGTACAGTTTTATTGTTATCAAATAACAACCAAAAGTAACGTGGGCTCTGTTTCAATTGAACGCAAGACTAAAGAGCGGACTTAAACGACGCACGTGTCGGAACACTGAATACACGCAACGTGATCAGAGAAAAAGAAGGAAAGAAAGGAGTCCAAAAATTGTTGTCCAAGAATGCCTTAGTCTTCCACCTTTAGGGGTGCCTTGTGTGCATAAAGATTGAAGTTCGGTGCCTTCAATAGCTTTTTGGCAACAAAGATCAACGAATAACAACGGCCTTACCAAACAATCTTTTTAAAGACACCTCTACGATGGTAGGTATAGACAACTGACATTTAAACATTAAAAACAAGCTACCAGCAACAGGGTTTTCCATTGTAAATGTTTCATAAGATCAGATTTTCATCACGTTTTTTTTACATTTGAAAGCATAGTTGTATTTTAATAATTACAATATAATGAAATCCCACATTTTAAGACACAAGTAGTAATCATATGAACGAGAAAGACAGCAAATAAATGTAACATTATACTCCAGGACAGTGTTCTTGAGTGGAGTAAAGTTTCAAACTAATTTAAATTAAGTTGATTATTTGCGCGCAGGTTGGGGAGGAAATTCCAGAAATGGATACATGTGACATAAAAAGAAACCCATTACAATTAAACAAAGCAGAAGCATATTACTCACATGTCTATGCTTCTGAATACAAAGAAATAGGAATTTTTTACGCAATTATCCACATCTGTACAAACGGATTTGGTATTCTTAATTACTGGTTAACTTCCAAGGGTGTAACTCAATGAATTCAAAAGAAAATATCCAAGCAGATTACCGAAGTGGTTCACGAATTATAAACTGATAATTTTTTTTAACAGAACTTCCCGAAATGTCCTTTAATGATAGTACCGATGCGAGGTTATCGTTCATAATCACTTATGAAATTCCGAGATTGTAACTCGATGAAAATCAACAGAAAATATCCAGGACGCTTTCAGAAAGGGGGGAAAGGTGTATCCTGTCACTAAGTGTACCCTTTGTTGGTCATAAGTAGTCAGTGCGAGGAGTGTCCACAGGCCTCGACAAGGTTTCTGCAGTGAAGTCCTAGTCACCACCGAGCCGTGTTTCCCACCTGAATGTTTTTCTGAGAACGTTAGGTTACTATAGAAAGTTCATGCCAGATTTTGCTACACTTGAAACCCCTCTCTTCCAGCTTGAGAAGAAGAGACGTAATTTCTGTGGTCCACTGACTGTCAAAATTTTTTACGATACTCTAAAACAAGTCTTCTGTGAAGGTCCGGTTCCAGCATTCCCAAGATTTGACCTTCCATTCTTACTATTAACTGACTCTAGCACAACTTGTGTCGCAGCTGTGTTGTCTTAATTGCAAAAGGGCGAGGTGCGCCCAACTGCATATGCCGATAAGACCTTGAGGAAGTCACAGGATGGAGTTTTGTATTGGCGATGGTTGATGAAAAGACAGTACACCTGAGCCTACAGTTGAGAGTCTCGCGGTATTTGAAGGGAGATCTGCTGAAGGAGCCAGATGACGAGTACAGACACTTGTCACGACGCTTTTACTGGTCAGGCTATTCTGTGCGGATGATGAATTGTACAACGTATCACACAAGTAGCACCAGAAATGTGTCGATTCCTCGACCGAGGACATTCTGTCATGGACGACTATATGCCGCTTTGGTTATCCACGTCGAGTGCTTATTGACGAAAATCGAAATTTTGAGTCTCGGAATTTCCGTTGGTTACGCAGCTTAATTGAGCGCCGAACTACTCATCTGTACGGTTGCCGATGTTATTGTTAAGATTGCAGAAGAGCGGAAAGAATGGGACCAGCACTTTCCTTAGGTTTCCTTTGCATTGCGAGTATCAACGCATGACTACAGGGTACTCCCCTAGGTGCTCATGTGTGGCAGGGAACTAAGATTACCTATTGACGCAATGAGAGCCAGACCTACATCGGAATAACCTACTGATTACCCTTCTTTTGTCAAGAACAGCGTGAAGTCCAGGGACGGGTGGAGGGAAATCGGGAGAACAACCTCCGAAGGATGTCTACGATGCACACTGCGACGCTGGTATCGATATTTCTCGAAGTCTTCCATATCAAATATGGGTATTACGTCCAAGCGTGTCCATAGCATGAGACAATAAACATCAGAAAACCCGTAAAATGAACTCGGAGTTAATTAGAAAAAAATAAGGAAAGTAGTGTTCACACATGTCCTTTAAAAGAAAATTGCGTTGTATCTGAGATACAAGATTAGGTGTTTTTCTTTCTCCTGTGTATATCTGGGGTGGCTTAAATAGTAATACAACATTATGAATAATGCCATCAGGTAAGCCTCTACTCTTTTACTGCAGATATCATATAGAGTGTTTCACAAGATTTTAAATACAGTTTAGCGTGTTTCGATAATGTACAGAAATAAACGTTCATCCCTGCTTTGACAACATTTCCGCTTTGAAATAAGCGGTTCATTTCATCATAGCAAAAGTCTATCTACCAGCCACAACCCCTTTGAATAGCGCTCTTTGTTCCCTGTACGAGTCGAAAACACTGGGAATATAGTAAATTTGATTCCTAGTATCACTCTATTGAGACGGTTCTCTCCGTTTATGAAAATGCATTTAACAATAACAGCAAGAAAGTTAGAATAAAAAAATCAATAGCAATGCACTTTTTGTCTTCCGATACCAACGACACAAAATGTAAGCAATCTACGACCCATGTAGTACCACATTATAAGACATGTCACCGATCTCGTCGATAAAGGACACGCTACCCAAAGGTCCATGACCAAATCAATACTAAACTACTAAATATCTTACCACGTCTATAGAACCAGCAGGCGACACCTCAATAGCATGATTGCCTACAACTCGTTGTATTGTTTCACCCGTAAACAGAGGTAAACAATTTTCCTGGTGCAGAAATTTAAATGAAGAAGCTTTTTTCTCATTTTCAACCTCCTTTTTTTTAAATCCTGCCTTAATCAGCTGTATCTAAATCGAATTATTTATCAATTGCAACTTAAGAAAAAATTGACTTAAAGGTGTCTCATTAAGGACACTGCTTTGATTTATTATAACACAATAAGACCCTTAAATTATCACAGTTATTACGGGTACACGTTTTCTAATACTTGATGTACTACAAAGTGACTGAAATTTATTGTAGCGGCTAGGTTCCTCAGTAATATTCAAAATGTCACTGTCTAACGACGGTCGCTGGCCCATTTTCCTAATCTCTTTGCTGCGGCGTTCCTTGTAGCTCGTGCACTTGGTTCGGCATCTTCATCTCCGAGGTCTTCAACCTTGGAGTATTTGGTCGTGTCATAAGATCTCATGTCGAGCAGGTGCAGATATGTCTAAAGGGGAAGGCAATAAAAGAAGATTGTTCATGATCGTCATAGTGTTCTTTTACTTCAAGTCAAGAAGAAAATTATAATGACTACTTCAAAGCACACAAATGATCCTCGCGTTAAAGGCACGGAAGAAATTCGTTTTCTACGCAGGTTGGTTGGTAAGTAGGAAGTTATGAATGTAGATGGGTAATTTGGTATCATCAACTTAGTCACTAACGTAAATTGGCCGCCGTAAAGAGTTTGCAAGCTAATGTTTTGAACGTTAGAACTTTGCCATTCGCTCCGACGAAGGGCTAACGCTCGAAACGTCAGCTTTTAAACTCTTAACAGTGGCCAATGTACGTTATCAGCTCAGTTGAAAATATCAAATTAGCCCGTTATACTCTCCATCGACGCAACCCCACAGTTTTTCTAGAAACTTACCCCTTTATTATGAATGTAGATAGAAAGGTAAGTAGAGGGAAGGGCGGAAGGGATGGTGATAGATGGGTTCGTAGGCATGGGACATCTTAGCGCATTTAGCCATCAAAATGAAAGTTCAAGGCACTGAAATTCCCTTAAGCGGCTTCAAGTGTAGTTGGAAGAAACCAATGCAATTCCAAATCACTTCTATTAATCTGCTGAAACCAACTTTAAAAGAATAATGATTTATGAAGTAATTTTAGAGGAATAAATAATCGTAGAGGCCTCCAAGGACTTGTTCAAATCGTGCTACAAACCTCTTGACGAAGGTAGGTATCCATTCTTTTTCGAAGGTTTTCAAAGGGAGGACGAAAGTCGGGGTCGAAATTCCAGCACCTTTTCATTATGGCATACCTGGAATAAAGGAATGATGCTCAGTACTGGACTGTGGTTTATGAATTATATGATAAAAATCAACCAATACTCAAAAACTCAAGATAGCCTTGGGCAAATAATTGCTAAAATGATAAGAAATGTCTGGTTGTAATAGCTAAAAATTAATCTTTTCATAATTATTAAGTGAGAAGACAACTTTTAACTGAACAAACTGGTAACCGCTGTTAACTATGTTTCATTTAACAGATTTCAGTGATGAGCGAAGAAATCAGATCAGGAAAGAGGAAATGTTTTTCTTCGGAGGTTGGGGGGATTAGGTGAATTAAAATGGAACATGGTGACTTGAAAGGCAAGACTCACAGTTTGTCATCAACATGGTCGGGCTTTGGAAGTTTGTATCCATGTGTGACTTGTGCAACTACCTTCCCTTCTGGCCACCCCTCATATGGAATTCCACCTGCAAAGAAATAAACAAATTGTGGCCGTGATACTCCTGAATATTTTGTTTAAAAATGTTGAGATTTAAATCAGAGAGATTCAATTTTAGTGCCTGGCCGCAGCATTCGAAACATGATGTTTCCTAGCCTGATATTTTATGTAATTGATTACCACTTTTCTACCAAGCAATCTGAAAGGTTTTTAAATCATTCGAAGTCGAACACAAAATGCTCCTCGTCTTGTGTGATAGTCAGGGCGAGGAAAGTCCTTAAACAACATTTCTCAGTTCTCAGAGAATGAAACTTTGGCAAGCTAAGCAAAAGTCATCATTGGCGTAAACTTTGGCACAACAAGTTTTTTGCCACAGCTCATCAAACTAACGTCCGCCAATTGAGTCCTAAAGGCATTGACATTGACTAACGAGTCCTACAACATTTCCAGACCAAGACAGGCGGGAAGTATAAACATTTGTTGTTGAACATAGTTTTACTTACCAAGGGTAACTATCTCATACAGAACGATTCCGTAAGACCACCTGGAAAAATTGCAAAAAGTATTTCCAAAGTATTCTCTAAGTGTTGGATATTAGTTTGTTAAGACAAAATCTAAAGAGATGGCCTGCTCAGTGCAAAAATATACATACACGTCACTCAAGGTGGAAAGTCCAGCGAAATTTCCCAACAAAATCTCTGGTGCAGTCCATTTGATCGGCAAACAGCCCTGCAACGACAGGTTTGTTTAAAAATCAGTGTTATAATACTGGCGAGTCAACAAAGGACATGCATGTAAACGAGAGGTGGGTGGTGTACCTCTTCCGAGACTTTATGGAGCTTCAAAATTTAGCAGTTGTCATAAATTTAGAATATTAAAGTCAACTAACTCAGTTGTATTCTGTGGCATGGCAGAACGTGGAGCTATCATTAGTTGGAAATTAAGATGAATTTTAAGCAGAGTTAGAACTAACCTTAGGAATCTGTTTGCAAGTGTCACCACAAAAAAGATAAAGCAAAGACGATCGTCTACCTTTTTGGCATTTCCATGACCATATTTGAAGTTTTGATATGCCATGCCAAAGTCGGTCACTTTGCACACATAGTTGTTATCAAGGAGGACGTTTCGAGCTGCCAGGTCACGATGGATTATCTACCAAAAGACAAAGATCTAAAATGTGTAGTGGCTAACAAATGTATGTCTTTTGTGAGACCTACCATGATCAGAGAGAAGAATGTACAGAAGTTTGCATGGGTTGTAAGAACTATTGTTCCTAGGGTGTTCATTACAGACCAAACATATACCAGCATAACAGCGACATCAGGTGACCCATTGACAATACCAAAGGAACTCTTGAGAAATATTGACAATATGAAACCTGCTTTCGAACAAAGTTCATATAATCTCGATATATTTATATTCAAGCAACTCAAAAGGTAGAACAGTCCCTTTAGAGATATTTCTGCGGTGAAATTGAATGAAGAAGCATTTAAGTTACTTACCCCCCTTGATCCAAGGTATACCATTCCGGCGGCGATTTGTTTGGCAAATAGCACAAGGTCATAGTTGTTCAAAACTTGAGGCCTTCCTTCTCCAAGATAATACCGATCATTAATTCCTCGGCATTTTCTCATGTAACCAAGCAGATCACCACATGGCAAATGTTCCATGATAAGGATTGGATGAACTTAAAATAACGAAAAGAAGGAACGAATCAGTAAAAAAAAAACAACAACAAACCAATAAGCTAACAATCTCATACTGAGTTCAAATGTTATGGCAGATAACAAGAATGATGCCTTAAACTTAGTATGTACCCTGTCTAGTGACGCAGCCAATGAACTTCACTATGTTTGGCTGATTGCTTTTACCGAGAATTTTTCCCAGCTCGATCTCTCTCATCAAACATTTTCTTCCTTCCTCGCCTGCGGTGGCTACAATAAAAAGGATATACTTTTTAGCCGAGGAAAAAATCATATTGACGAGTTTCCTCGCGCTTAAGAAGCGAAAACCTCGGGTAAGGATTTAGACCTTACATCTCAGGAGGTCTTTGAAGCCCACTTGGTGGAGCTCACGACTACAAAAATGGAACCGGTCGGCGAGCGAATCCTTTCGAGGATTCAAATTTCCCTTGCCTCACGATTGTGGCAAATGCTTACCATCTTCAAATTTTTTCATGCTATTAATGCCTCTATTGTTTTATTTTTGCTGTTGTTACAAAAAATAACTTTGCATAAATTTCTCAGAGCGCCTTAGTCGACCTGAGATAAATGATCACTGCAAAGTGCAAAGCAGGTCACTCTTAGAAAGAAACGCTAAGTATCCATCTACGTGCTTTGAAGAAAAGATAGATGACTGGATCTTACGTGTAAAGCATTTAGCAGCAACTGTGCGATTTCCAGGTCTCCCATTTGGAGAACTAAGAAGAGCTCTCCACACTGCTCCAAATGCCCCTCGCCCAATGACATCTTGAAGCAAGACACGGTTCACTTCAATCTCCCATTCATCCACTTCTAGATTCCAGAGCTCCATCTCAACTACCTTCCCTTGATTAGGACTAAATGTTATGAAAATTCTATTTTCTATTGATAAATCAAAGTATACGTAATCAAGGAAAAAGAAGTTACGCAAAAGTTTTTAGTTTCTAAATTATTTGACTGATTTCATCATGGAAAGATAATCACTCTAGAGATGAAAAAACACCATTTTCTTGAGCAGAAAAAATTAAAGTTGGAGAATTACTTGTTCACGCAGACTATCATTCAAGTTAACTTTCAAAATGGAGTGGTTGACATGATAGTAAGATTTAAACCCCACCTAATATATTTTTTAAATTTCAATTTAGTAAATAAAAGGCAAACTAATTGACTTACAGGACTGTATCAGGTGCTGTAGGTCCAAATGGCAAATCAAAGAAAGAAATAAAGACGGAAAAAAGTTCTGCCTTAACTTGAGTGTTTGTTGTGCACTATGATCAGTAGTTAATAGTAGATTATCAATCAGATAAGAAACAGTAAAAACGTGCCAATAGTGCCTCAACGAATTTATTTTTCCTGCAAAGCGAGATGATATTAATACTTACAAAATAAAGAACTTGAGGAGAACAATTGGGATATGAGGTGAAGTAAAAGTAAACATAAACTGGTCCAATTTTTGCTTCTCACACAACGTACGATTCTCTGGAAAAACTACTCAAAACAGGATATGAAGAATGAGCTTTACCCGTCTTTCGACGTTTCCAAAAAAGGCAGCCTATGAGCAAAATAGCAATAGCAGCAGCCATTGATCCAACAATATAATACCACACCAGGAATGGACTCGCACCTGTTGGTGTAAGTTAAACACATGGTTCTCAGCCAAATAAAAAAGGTAGTACATGTGATGATAAGGGAAAGGTTGTTACTCAGTAATAGCCAGCCCCTCTGGATACTATTTTTCACCAGAGCTTCGCTGGCTCATTATAAATGGCTTCTATTTTATGGCAGAGATTCAAAGCAAGGTAAATTAAAATCATATAGAGAAGGCCTAGCTAGAATCTTGTTTTAAATTGAGAAATTACCTGCCTTTTTGTACAATGGATGTAAAGCAATTCCCTTTGCCAAATAGGAAACAAACAATAATGATGATAATTATTTGGGTATCTAAAGGAAGGTTCTACTGCATCTTACAGGCCAGGGGACCCATATTTTAATTACAGGCTTACACCCAACATCCATACACGCGTTCACTCACAAAAAAAAAACAAAACAAAAACAAAGCAAACAAAGAAACAGAAAACAGCAAATAGCATGCTTAAAAGTTTCAGGTTCCATTTAGTCAAATAATTTATTGCTAATAAATTTTAGATTGTTTCTACACTACAATAATGCCAGCTTACGGTTGACTTTTATCATCACAGTGGAGCGGGCCACATTTCCTAGTCTGTTACGAGCTTCACAAGAATGTTCGCCACTGTCCTCCTCCACAACCTTTGCAATAACCAGATAACTTGTTGTCTCATCCAATTGCGTATCAATGACTGCCCTTTCTTTTATTGGATCTCCATCTTTTTTCCAAGTGATATTTACTGTTGCTTCGTTGACGCTGCAAGTTAACCCAAGCTTATCACCTTGAGTGAGCGTTGGGTATGGTTTTGGACTTACTTTGGCAGTGGGTTTTTCTGTGTTGAGAAAGAGATAATGTAAACATAACTTGGATTTCATTAAAAAAAAATTCACTCAAAATACCTTAGTAAGGTAGTTATTACAGAGACTAAGAAATTCGAAATCAACCCTCCAAATGGTACATGCGGGGTATAGCGTGCCAATTTGAGTGAAACTTGGCTTCAAAGGCGTTTTAAAGAGGGTTTGAAATACTTTTCCAAAATGTTTCTGGAGATTTGCCAAAGGTTCTCAGACCCCATTAAACCGAATTTACAAGATGCTTCTAACTTAACCGATACCCGGTCCTTTATTTTTATTGTTAAGACATATTCCCCTATACAAAGCTACCAATCATCGCAGTAATCAAAATCTTTTGGATCAAAATGATCAGAGTAACCATGACAAAATGTCACAAAGTGATTATATGGAAGAATCATCTTAAACAACTGGTAAATGGTGCATGTGCAACGACTATCTTTCCGACAATTCATTACCGTATTTTTCATAAATACGTTACACTCAAGTTTGTATTTGCACTCTTTGATTCTATTGTCCTGGATAAATTCCGGGGATATCGAGACTCCTCATTCTTAACAAGCTGCCAGTTCTTCTTGGGCAACTTAGAGCCACTAGCCACCATTTTCACCTCATATTTGGAAGGTACAATTGATTATTATTGTTGCAGTGGATCCATCACTTTCATTACCCTAATTGCTATTAAAATTAAGATTACTATTATTATCGTCATTACAATCATCATCATCCCTATCAGTATCATTATCATCATCATAATAATTATGATTGTTGAACCTACCAAATACTTGAAGTGTTGTGGAATAACTTATTGTATTTTCTTTGTTTTCTGCTGTACACTTGTATGTTCCTTCCATTTCCTTTGTTGCCCTCTGCATTTCCAGGAATGATTCCGGGAATGAGTCTCCCTCAAAATCGATTTGATTGGTACCCAATGGAAGTTTACCGTCAGCAAATGTCCAGGTCAGTTTTGGTGTTGGAACACCTGTGGCACGGCAAGTAAAAATGACTGGGTCTCCATTAATAACAGACTGGTTTACCGGAGACAATAAAATCTGGGGAGACACTGAAAATAAAAAGAGCACCACTGATGTTAAACAAAGGTTCTTAAGGTACAATCGAATAACCACAAGTACTCTGGCAGTAAGAAGAGCAAATCTGGGAGTATTCTAAGTACACGAATTTCCTGAGGTAAAAGAATCACCTGCCCACTGTACACGGGAATAGCTAGTGGATATTACCAGCATAAAAAGATTAATTGATACTCATATGCAGACGGTAATTTTCCATTCCTATAAAGATATCAATATGAACGACGTATCTAAATCAAAGACAAATTTATAAACAAATGAATAAACTTGGCTTGTACTATCGCACGGCAGTACAGCGCTCCACAACGTGATCTAATCAAGCAGCGTATGTAAATCTTCATAAAATGATTTTGATTTACCAGTAACATCGATCCAGAAGGAGATGTTAACTTTTCCAACCAGATTTTCAGCAGCACATTCATAGAAACCTCCATCATCAAACATCACGCGCTTAATAACTAATGTATTGTTGTTACCAAGAGCTTCTCCATCCTTGGTCCAGTTGACAGAAACTGGAAGATCACCTCTTTTAAAACAGTCTGCTTCAAGAGTGGAGTTCAGTGGAACTGAAAGATTCCTGAGTTCAGGATTTAAATGTGGTGGAACTAGAAAGAAAAATTAAGAAGAGTTACGATGAGATTATCGTCACAGATACATTGGTATCTAGATCTTGAATGTAAACTTGTAAACACTTCAAACAAATGAATGGTCGTGACGACCAGAAACCTTTAGGAATTTTCATTCTGGCGCTATCAGTACTTTACTTACTTGGTTGACACAAGAATAAAAACCTTTGCCATCTTCTCGCCATTAAGCTGGGAAATTTGACTTCCCATCAATATGAGCGCGATATTCCATTTCTAACTCATTAAAAGTGCAGGAAACATCAGACAATTCAAATTAAAATGATGATCTGATCTTCTAAATTTTAGCAATTGCAACTACCCAGGTCGGCGGATTACTTTAAGCTAGATTTTTGCCTGCTCATTACCTTATGAAAAGGTAAATCAGAACTATGTATAGACGAGCTACGGCATTCAAATCTTGTTTTAAATTGAGAAACGACCTTCAATTATTGTAAATTGGATGTAGACGAATGACAAGACCCGAATAGAAAACAAACAACCATGATGATATTGCAACAAATTATTCGAGTCTCTGCAAGTTGGTGCTATATCTTCTAAAAGCCAGAGAACCCATATTATAAATTATAATTTACAGTTCCTTAGAAAAAAAGATGAGAAAAAGGAGCTACGCTATTGATGGGAATATAGTGAAGAAAAAACAAGAATAAATTAGTTGAATGAAAAGCGCTCAATTAATTTACTTGTGTTTTCTCGTCACCATATTCCCACCAATAGCGTAGCTCCACTTTCTGTGTGGAGAGTCAGGCACCATGTAAGCGAAGCCTGTCATCCAAGGTGATAGTACAGAAATGACCTTGCTCGACTAACCAGCAGTACATATGTGTCATGTCGATTTGCAGTTCAAAATTTTAAAGTAAACATTAAAAAAAAGAAGAGATTTCGAGAAGAAAACCATCCAATTTTAGACCTGAAAACTTACCTTTAACAGAAATATATATGTTTTCAGCGGAAATTCCTCCACGATTTTTTGCTTCACAGGTATACAGACCTGCGTCTTTTTCTGTTACCTTATGAAAGGAGAGAGACATGTTGTGTCCCACAGATAAGTTATTCTTAAGCCAGGTTATCTGTGGCTGAGGCCGACCTTGGATGATTTTACAAGTCAAAGTCACAGTGTCTCCTTCTCTGATTAGATTGCTTGCTCCTGAAACATTCACTTCTGGTCGAACTTTGAATAAACAAATCAAAATTTAAAACACAGTGGCTTAGTTATACACACATAATACGAATATTCTAGAGGGCAATTACCTTTCGGGTTACTAACATCAATCTACAAATTAGACAATGCATTTTAATCTGACCAATTTAAATAACCAGATGAAAGTCCTTTTCTAACAGCTAAAAACAACAAATCATTGGAACATATAGGGTGACCTTGTAGAAATGCCTATAGGCAAAACAATTTAAAAGCACTTCAAAAAAATAACAAAGATTGATTTAACCTCAATAAATGAAATCAGAAACCCATCTTACCAGTGACTAAGTGACTAAATTCTTAAGATCAGCTATCAATAGTTACCTATAATGTTTAGCTTTATCTTTAATACATTTTAGATTACATTTTGTATTATTCATATTTTAGGGTAGATATTTTAGTCTTTTAAGTTTTGTATTTTGTATTAGTCTGTGTCCCCTTATTAGCATGGATTTCTCTCAGGCTACATGGTTTTTGATACTGAGATAAAGTTTTTATCACTATTTTTACTATTATTACGAGTTGGTGTAATGACCTAACCAGTTTCAGATTTTCCCAATAACTTACTCACCTATAACAGACACAAGTATGTTTTTATGACTGATTGTGGCCCTTTTTGATCCTTTATTTTGTGTCATGGTACATCTGTATGTGCCACCGTCTTCAGGGTAAACAGGATCAATCTGTAGACTGCCACTGGAAATTTGAATGAATCTTCTCCCATGAGGTCCTGACATTTCTCCTAGTTTCCTCCAAGTTATCTGTGGACGTGGTGTTCCTTCAGCACTACAATCTATAATACCAGATGTGTTAGCAGTAAGGCTCTGCTGGTCTCGAGTGTTCTCAGTGAATCTTGCTGTTGGAATAAATAAAGAAAATAACCACTTACCGAAGCAGCAATGAAGAAATGCCAACTAGTCCCTGTTGTGTGTCCGTATTGTGAATGCCTGACACATTTACTATTATGTTAACTTACTCGACAATGAGGCAATTAAGGTCTTCTAAATGTGTTAAAAAGGATTTTCCTACCATTAATGTAAACCGTGTAATACTGAACATATTCCAGTCTGAGGCATTCATATGTTCCTCCATCAGACAACTGCACATTTTCTATGACCAGTTTACCATCTTCTGTAGTCTTGACCCTCTTAGAGGAAGAATTCATCCCTTGTACCTTTTGACCATTTATGACCCATTTCGCAAAACTGGTTTTGTTACGTATTGAGCAGTGAAGGATTTCATTGCTGCCAATATTAAAGTAAAGTTCCTCTTTACCGATTACTTGTTTGTTATCTGAAAGAAAGTAGCACAAGTAGCACAAGTCTGCAAGTAGCACAATTATCAGTTCATTCTTTCTCAGTATTTTGGTATTCGTTTATTTCAAAATTAATAGTATCTTGATCTTTGGTGTTTAACTTTAAACACGTGACTATTCACGAGGACCAGTCACCTTTAGGAATTTCCATCTCGGCGTTATTAATGCCTCACTTACTTGGTTGACACAGTGCTTGAGAACCTTTGCCCTCTTGACATTGATCGGGGACATTTAACTTTCCATCGGTGCGAGCGCACGATGCAAGTTCATCCTCCACTCCAGTGCAGGAAACATCCACCATTACAGGAATAGTGTTTCCATCATCTACGTTTGACTCAATGAATTCAGCAAGAGCCTCTTCAAAGCCAAGTTGACGACAAATAACTTGGGCATCCTCGAAATCCCATCCATTGGTGCAAATTTTTCCCCATTTCCCTTTATAAAATACTTCCACTCTGCCACCATACTCTACATTTGCACCATTCAAGCGGACGGGAACTTATAAAGTCACAAAATATTAAGCAATGAATGAAGGTAAGTTAACAGTGAATTAATAAAAGATGAAATATAGATGAGGGAAGGAGACAGCAGGATTAAGAAGAAATTTAAAAGTTCAAGGTGTTCATACAGGTTTAGAAATCCAATTCGGTTGTATGGGTTCTTGGATGGGCAGCTGTTCAGGCATCATTTTTGGGTCTTTTTTACGCCTTCAACAATTTAAACTAGTCCTCGAAAACAACCTAATTGTTAATATATGTCATGTTTTTTTCAAGAGCAGTCTTCAAGAAAACACTAGTACATAATCAGTTACCAAAGCAAGAAAGGATGTCTTGGCGAGGTCCACCGCTCGAATTATGATGAAGTCTATAGGGGTACCTTGAATAGGATGTACAAAAGAGAAGACTGAAACAGATCTGACAACAGATTTCAAAAAATGCATAATTGATTAATACCTTTGCAGAATTGCGGTTCGTTTGAGAAGCTTTCTTCACATTTAGTAAAAGTGGTGGTGCAGTTGAAATTAGTAGATGTCTCTGTTACATTGCCACTGTCTTCATACCATCTATTATAATCACTGCTGTTAGAGTATCCCATTGCCATGCATGTCAAATCTACTTCAACTTTATTCCACGTACTAGTGCAAAGCTTTTTCCAGCTGCCGTTTGTATGGATTTCCATTGTACCAACCGAAGGGTTATTCTCCGTTTTAAAGCGCAGTGGAAATACTGATAAAAGAAATAATACAAACGTATATGTATATCTTGAGAGGCCCTTTCCAAGATTCTACATCTATTTTGCCGATGATTGCCCCAAATAGGTACTTAGTTTCATATGTATACCAATTCTAGGTGTGTTAGAAACATAACCATCAGCCCCAAATTAAATGGTATCTTTTAGGATCAGTAAAAAAAAAGAACATAATTTACACTGCCCACATCAGACATCCCATACTATTCTGTCAAGAAACTAAATATTTCAGTTGTAATTGACAAGAAATTTAGCGCTAAATGCTTATGGATGACAACAGAGAACACTGTAATGAAAATAACGATATAAATGATGATACTAAAGTAACTATAACATTTGCAATAATAATAATAGGGATTTTATTATAATAATAACGATGATGATCCTGATGATAAAAATGAGTGAGAAAGTGATAATGATAATAGCAATGAAAATAACTTTATTCAAGCTGCGATGTAATGCTAATGCTAATTTTGTACAAGGTCAATTTATTAAGATGTTGATTTAACGACATAGGCTTTTGACAGGACTTAGCCCTTTTAATATGGGGTTCAACTATGATTAGACTCATCCATGATGTCTGTGTTTTAATTAATATTACCCTATGTAATTAAAACTCTGATGCACTGATTTTACCATCTATATGTTACCTTCGTGGCAGCTGGACATTTTGTTACATTCCCTTACAAGTGCTCTGCTCCCATTACAATGTTCCCCGCCATATGCTGGTTCTGGATCGGAACATTCTCTAAACCTTATCTGTATGCCACTAACTGCTTTAGTGCAGTTACTCCAGGGACTCCACCTATTCCAACCACCATTGACTAACAATGTTTCACGAACAAGCCGTAAAGAAATAAACATAATTAAAAAGTTAGATATGTTATAAAATGAAGAGCTGCCCGCGGATATTGCAAATTTCTTGCATATGTATCTCTAATTCATTCAACATTTTGACCGTTTCAAATAATAATAAGGAATGAAAGAAACTTTAAAAAATCTAAATACCAGCATATGGTAGAAACCTTACAGCTACTAAACATTGATATCTTCATTGATATTGCAAATTGCATGCGCACATAATGCTGATTCATTCAACCTTTTGAACGAAGAAGATAAAGATAAGGCATGAACAGAACTTTAACAAATCTAAATAGCAGCGTATGGTAAAACCCTTGCAACGACTAAACATTGATATCTAAAAAACTATGTAAATTAAATTAAGGGTGCATGGAGCACCTGGAACCAGCAAATGAATGATCAAAACGATAAAAGATTGTTGGTTTAACACCGATTACATGACTCTCAGGATGACCAGCCACCATGAACTATATTGATAGCAGGACTTTAAATTTTTGGCAAGTTTAAGTGGCTCTAAATAAAAGAACTGCCTGCCAATGTTGCAAATTGCATGCACAAAACATTGCCCATTCATTCGAGTTTTTTGACTATATCAAATTAAAATAATTATAAGAATTCATGAGTTATAACCATTATAATTTATGGCTGGTATTTTTGACGCTCACTTGCGGGCTATGGAGAATACGCATACTGATGTTATGTAAAGTATGAAGACACTTACTCGCTGATTTGTTCCACAAAATCCACATGAAAAGTAAAGAGATAGTATTATTTGTTAAAAGAAAGTAATCAACTGAAAAGTTAATTTTATTCATTCTTATATTGATTAGTTAGGAGAGTCTATGATAGAATTCTTTTTAAAAGTAAGGAGATTCAAGTCATCAATATAAGAAAGAATTGTCTTAAAACAAACTACTCGGTCAAAGAAGTAATTTTCTGAGGACTAATTTATTCATTCTCATATTCGAGAGTTAGAGGAATTTTTAATACCAGACTTAAATGATAATAATAAATATAATGTGAAGAAAAGTCATTTTTCTTATATTAATAATGGTATTCTTTTGAAATCACTGATGATCTGTCCCTCTAAATGGGCTCTCATGGGGGTGATAACTTTATAGGATTGATTAATTATGAGGATGTCTTTAGACTTTATCGATAATGCATATAATGGTAGTTATTGCACCACATTCTCATCAAAAAGAACAAGCCAAGTTCTCGTTAACCATTATGTAAAGTATGAAGACACTTACCACCTGATTCGTTGCACAAAATCCACATGAAAAGTAAAGAGATGGTATTATTTGTTAAAAGAAAGTAATCATCTCAAAAGTTAATTTTATTCATTCTTATATTGAAGAGTTAGGAGAGTCTTTGACTTGAGGACTAATTTATTCATTCTCATATTCAAGAGTTAGAAGAATTTTTGATACAAGACTTAAATGATAATAATAAATATAATGTGAAGAAAAGTCATTTTTCTTATATCAATAATGGTATTATTTTGAAATCACTGATGATATGTCCCTCTAAATGGGCTCTCATGGGGGTGATAACTTTATAGGATTGATCAATTTTGAGGATGTCTTTAGACTTTATCGATAATGCATATAATGGTAGTTATTGCACCACATTCTCATCAAAAAGAACAAGCCAAGTTCTCGTTAACCATTATGTAAAGTATGAAGACACTTACCACCTGATTCGTTGCACAAAATCCACATGAAAAGTAAAGAGATGGTATTATTTGTTAAAAGAAAGTAATCATCTCAAAAGTTAATTTTATTCATTCTTATATTCAAGAGTTAGGAGAGTCTTTGACTTGAGGACTAATTTATTCATTCTCATATTCAAGAGTTAGAAGAATTTTTGATACAAGACTTAAATGATAATAATAAATATAATGTGAAGAAAAGTCATTTTTCTTATATTAATAATGGTATTATTTTGAAATCACTGATGATCTGTCCCTCTAAATAGGCTCTCATGGTGGTGATAACTTTATAGGATTGATCAATTTTAAAGATGTCTTTAGACTTTACCGATAATGCATATAATGGTAGTTATTGCACCACATTCTCATCAAAAAGAACAAGCCAAGTTCTCGTTAACCATTATGTAAAGTATGAAGACACTTACCACCTGATTCGTTGCACAAAATCCATATGAAAGTAAAGAGATGGTATTATTTGTTAAAAGAAAGTAATCATCTCAAAAGTTAATTTTATTCATTCTTATATTCAAGAGTTAGGAGAGTCTTTGACTTGAGGACTAATTTATTCATTCTCATATTCAAGAGTTAGAAGAATTTTTGATACAAGACTTAAATGATAATAATAAATATAATGTGAAGAAAAGTCATTTTTTTATAATAATAATGGTATTATTTTGAAATCACTGATGATCTGTCCCTCTAAATAGGCTCTCATGGTGGTGATAACTTTATAGGATTGATCAATTTTAAAGATGTCTTTAGACTTTACCGATAATGCATATAATGGTAGTTATTGCACCACATTCTCATCAAAAAGAACAAGCCAAGTTCTCGTTAACCATTATGTAAAGTATGAAGACACTTACCACCTGATTCGTTGCACAAAATCCACATGAAAAAAGTAAAGAGATGGTATTATTTGTTAAAAAGAAAGTAATCATCTCAAAAGTTAATTTTATTCATTCTTATATTCAAGAGTTAGGAGAGTCTTTGACTTGAGGACTTATTTATTCATTCTCATATTCAAGAGTTAGAAGAATTTTTGATACAAGACTTAAATGATAATAATAAATATAATGTGAAGAAAAGTCATTTTTCTTATATTAATAATGGTATTATTTTGAAATCACTGATGATATGTCCCTCTAAATGGGCTCTCATGGGCGTGATAACTTTATAGGATTGATCAATTATGAGGATGTCTTTAGACTCTATCGATAATGCATATAATGGTAGTTATTGCACCACATTCTCATCAAAAAGAACAAGCCAAGTTCTCGTTAACCATTATGTAAAGTATGAAGACACTTACCACCTGATTCGTTGCACAAAATCCACATGAAAAGTAAAGAGATGGTATTATTTGTTAAAAGAAAGTAATCATCTCAAAAGTTAATTTTATTCATTCTTATATTGAAGAGTTAGGAGAGTCTTTGACTTGAGGACTAATTTATTCATTCTCATATTCAAGAGTTAGAAGAATTTTTGATACAAGACTTAAATGATAATAATAAATATAATGTGAAGAAAAGTCATTTTTCTTATATTAATAATGGTATTATTTTGAAATCACTGATGATCTGTCCCTCTAAATGGGCTCTCATGGGGGTGATAACTTTATAGGATTGATCAATTTTGAGGATGTCTTTAGACTTTATCGATAATGCATATAATGGTAGTTATTGCACCACATTCTCATCAAAAAGAACAAGCCAAGTTCTCGTTAACCATTATGTAAAGTATGAAGACACTTACCACCTGATTCGTTGCACAAAATCCACATGAAAAGTAAAGAGATGGTATTATTTGTTAAAAGAAAGTAATCATCTCAAAAGTTAATTTTATTCATTCTTATATTCAAGAGTTAGGAGAGTCTTTGATAGAATTCTTCATAAAAGTAAGGAGATTCAAGTTATCAATATAAGAAAAGAATTCTCTTAGAAGAAACTATTCGGTCGAAGAAAGTAATTTTTTGAGGGACTAATTTTATTCATTCTCATATTCAACAGTTAGAAGAATCCTTGATACAGGACTTAAATGATAATAATAAATATAATGTGAAGAAAGGTCATTTTTCTTATATTAATAATGGTATTATTTTGAAATCACTGATGATCTGTTCTTTTTGATGGGCTCTCATGGGCGTGATAACTTTATAGGACTTATCAATTCTGAAGATGTCTTTAAACTTGATCGATACTACATGTAGCGGTAGTTATTTCAACATATCCTCATTAAAATGAACAAGCCAAGTTCTCGTTTACCATTAAGTAACGTATGAAGATACTTACCACCTGATTCGTTCCACAAAATCCACATGAAAAGTAAAGAGATAGTATTATTCATTAAAAGAAAGTAATTGTTTGAAAAGTTAATTTTATTCATTCTTATATTGAAGAGTTAGGAGAATCGT